TTTCAGTACTTTTTAAAGTTGAGGGACAATTTTAGTACCAAAATGATAAGTTGAGGGACCAAAATGGTACTTAAACCAATTTTTTATTCTGTTTTTCTAAATTTTATAACTTATAAAAATTAAAATTAAAAATTAAAAATTTAAAACTAATAGTTTGTGAAAGACAAGTTTTAACACTTATAATAATAAATATAAACTTATTTAATAATATAAAATTATTTTTATTTTTTTAATAATTATGATAAAATGTTCAAAAACAAATGAAAGTAAATGAATTTTTGTTTAAAATTATAAAATTTATAAAAACTAAAAAAAAAATTAAAACCTTAACCATACCAAATGAAAATATAGTATTTTATCGATTGAATTAAATTTAATTATAAAATATAAGCTATTAAATAGTGTTGGAACTTAAATATTTTAATAAAAAATAAAATATTATATTTTATAAATTAAATTTATTGTTCCATCGAGAACTTGGTCAAACTAGCCATTGTAAGTTAATTATCCTATTTAAGAGCACGTTATTTCATAATAATTGCTTAATTTATTCCTATACTTAACCTACAAACGAGAGTTATAAGACTATGAGTCCTATAAATAAAACATGTCTTTTGCTCAAAAAATGCATTCCTCCAAATTCTCCTATTTCTTTACCTTTATCTTGTAAACACACTTGCCTAAAAAATGGTGTTTTGAGTGAATAGGGTAACTTTATAAGTAATGCAGATCCATAGAGTATTATTATAAAGCTGTAGCATCTTAAGGGTGATATGCTTTATGTATCTCTGCTATACCAATTGATCTACTCTCCGCAGAGATGTGAATCGCCTTAAAGTAAGTAAGTAAATTATTCACGCCTATTTTGATGATAATTTTCTTATCAATATTTCTTGATAAGGTCACTAATTATTATGTTATTTAATTTTGTGACCGAGACACAACAATGACATGATATGAAGGCAAAGGAGAGTGTTCAAGGAACAACAATTTTAAGATGATTCAATGTGCAAAGCAAAAGTAAAATATATGAGGTCTTGTGTAAGCATAATAGAAAATTTTGATTTTTCTTGATATATGTGCACTAAATAGGTATGAGTTTCTGACCCTCCTACAATATCTGATACTTTATTTAATTAGTTAATCACTATCCAATATTCCAATTGTATACTAGAAATGATGGAAACTTGGAATGATTACTTATGGCTTCATGGTTTTTCTTGGGTTAAATCCACGAAGGTATTTGGTCATTGTATAGCTTGCTTGAAACATAAAGCATAAACATGCATAATTCTTGTGAAACTCAATAGCCTCCTATGCGTAATTCTTAGGAAAAATTAGCACTTCATGTTATTAGCATTTGGTATTAAATACATATTAAGTTTGTTCTACTTAATTAATAGATTAATGGTGCATTTTGACCATTACTAGTGCTATAATGGCTATATTTATAAGAATTATTAGCTAGCTGTTTGCTCTTAATGCATGCATATTAATTTGGGGGGGTTTTGTCAACAATGAGTACATCACACTAGCCATTTGAATTAAATGTGATTGTGGAGCAAATATATTAATATGATATATTTGGGATATAAAGGCTTTATAAATTTGAGGATGCTTTCTTATTTTTGTTGTTTAATTAGAAATGCTCATGTAAGCATGTATGATCTATTATAATTATTTTGTTATTAATATGCACCATTGATATATAATAAATTGATGACTATTATTTTTAATGGTTAAAAAAATGATGAATGAATATATGCATTTAATTGACTATTTTATTGAGTTTTTTTGATGAAAAAGGTGAAACTTTGAGAACCCAAGTGAAAAGCTACTTGAATTGGTCCATGTAATTATTTTGGTAAAAATGTACATGATATTTGGGTTGATATATTCCAAAAACGTCCATTTGTGGCAATAAAATGTGAGATGAGCTAATAAGCTCTTATGAAAATCTTGTGAGAAAATGAGTTTCTTCATGAACTCAATTATTTGAGGAATGTGAGAATCACATAATTGAGATGCTCCTAATGTGGGGGATTGTGATGTCCCTATGTATTATTATTGGTGATGAGACCAATGATGCCTAATTGAGATTTTACATAGCATTTCTATTATACAATAAGGTGTAATGGTGCTTAAGAAAGCAAATGTGATATGCACTCCTATTATACAATAATGTATAATGGTGCTTAACAAAATAAATGTGATATACACTCCTATTATACAATTACGGTATAATGGTGTATGATGAAAAAAAAAAAAAGGCACTTGAAAAAATGGGTATGTAATGGACATTCTTATTGTACAATAAGGTACACCGGTGTTTAAGTTAAAAAATTATTAAATACATGTCTTTACATGTATGAAAAGAAAATGGTGATTCACTAGCTCGATTTGATATCAAAATTGTGGTACCATGAATTGAGAATTTGAGAAAAAATGAATGTGAATTTTATGAGCTAGTAGATGTGTGGGTTAATATGAAAAAGTGTGAAAAAATAATGAGTTAATTTTCTTCATTATTCACTATACCACCAACTAAGTTTTTGGCAAAAACAAAAGTTGGAGGAAAATCTATAATCATAGTCCAATGTATGAGGGGAATGAGATTCAAACCCAATAATGTAGAACTTCCTATGAGGATACCTAACCTGAATTCTAAGAATTTGATTTTGAATGGGAAAAATGAATCATAAAGAAGTCGTTGTTAAAAGATGCATTAATATTTAATGGAAAATTTTCCAGTTTCATTCCTAAAGTGAGGATGCATTTATTCCATAACGAATTGAGAATTGAATTATATACTTTTAATGAAATTTGTAGCTCATAAAGTACGTTGTCTTAGTTATAGAAGCATCCTCAACAAATTTCACTTATATAAGTGTCGAAGTGAGGTCGCTTTTATGACAATTGGATGGGCAATTTTCTAGATGGGCAATTTTCTAGATCACCCATAAAAATTGGGATCATCCGTAAGGCCATAATGCGCCAACTATGAGAAATACTCAATATTCGGATTATTATGTGTGTGATACAATTTTTGTATCTCCCAATGGAATCATAGTTCAAGATTTAGTTCACTATTGACTTTGGATTAAAAATTGTTGACTCATTAAGTAAAGGTTCAAGGCTTAGCTATCTTTATTATGCATAATAATCCATTTTTGCCCAAAGAAAGTTTTATTTTTTATTAAAATAATGGGGGAATTGTTGGAACTTAAATATTTTAATAAAAATAAAATAATATATTTTATAAATTAAATTTATTGTCCCATTAAGGACTTAGTTAAACTAGCCATTTTAGGTTAATTGTCTTATTTAAGGGTATATTATTTTATAATAATTGCCTAATTCATTCCTATAATTAACTTTCATTTATTCCTATAATTAACTTACAAATGAAAGTTACAATATCATGATTCCTATAAATAGAACATGTCTTTTGTTCAAAAAATGCATTCCTCCACACTCTCCTATTTCTTTACCTTTATCTTCTAAACACACTTGCATAAAGAAGGGTGTTTTGAGTATGGTGAATTTATTGGTAGTGCAGATCCATAGAGTGTTATTATAAAGTTATAGCATCTTGGTGGTGACATTCTTTATGTATCTCTACTGTAACGATTGATCTACTCTTTGTAGAGGTGTGAATCACCTTAAAGTAAGTAAACTATTCATGCCTATTTTGATGATAACTTTTTTATCAATATTTCTTGATAATGTCACTAATTATTATTTTATTTAATTAATTTTATAATCGAGACACAACAATAACATACATTGGATATAAAGAAAAATGTTTGAAGGGACAACAAACAGTGAAATATATCTCTTTTACTAAGAATCTTGCCTCTCTTCATCAAAAGTCTATCTCATTTAATAATTAATATTATTTAGTTAGCATCATTTGGACCTTTTTGAAAGAATAACTTTTAAAAAGGTTAATTTAAACTAGAAAATATCTTTCTGTGGAGTTCTATAATGATTCTTGCCGTGAGGAAATGGTCGAGAGAAATATTCCACCTTGTGGGGTTAGAATGGGTGACATTTTCCCTCCTGAAATCTCATATGCAAATTTTGCCATTCAACGAGATCTCAATCTTAACGAAAATTTTCGAAAAATTAAAATTGGTATTAAACTCACAATTTTTTTTTATCTTAATTATATAATAAAAAGTAATTATCTCTTATCATTTATTTCACCTTATCTGTATATCATGTAATTCAAATTCAAAATATCTTATTTTTATAAAAAAAAAGACTACTAAATTATTTAATTCATTAACACACTCACAACTATTATTACTTATTTTTAATCAAAACTATTTTTTAAAACTCACTTAAAAAAAATTACTCTATTAAACAATTTAATTTAAAAAAATTCATAAAAATGATTAAATTAAAAAAATTGAAAAAAAATCTAATCTTATCCTTTTGTTTTTTTTAATAATAGTCGGCCCCTATTTAACAATCAGTTTCGTTACTATACCTGCTGCTCTAGTCAGTTGTTCACTCTTTTCCAATGTAATTTCCTTGTTATCTAGAAGGACATATCAGTTGAAGTATTTGATATTCGGTTGGCGGGGAATGGAATTGTTGTGGGAATTCAATTCCACTGGTAGGGACAAGACGGGGACCAGGATCCGGACCTCTCCTTGATCTCAAAGGGTCCATTACCATCTTTAATTTGCCCTTTATTTAGGGTGCTTTTAGTTGAGGGAAATTTTCGTCATAAAATTTTCTCAGTTTATTAACCTTTTTTTTATGCTATTTAATACGTAATTTTCACATTTTTTTTATTAATAATTTTTTTTATAAAAGATTTCTTTCAACACTCTATAAAATTTTTTTATTAATTTTTTATATTATTTTTTATTACACATAAAAATTTTAATAATTTAATGAAATTCTAAACAAAATTTCATTACAAGAAAAGCAATTTTCTATATACAAACTTTTTTGATAACTTTTTTAATAATTTTTTTTTCAATTTAATAAGCTAAGCAATATATTTAATGGTCTAAAATATCAAGTTTTATAATTTAAATTATATTAAATTATAAAATAATTTTTTAAATAATTCATGATTTGTTGTATCAAAAATTATTTTACAATTTGAATTATAATAAATTATAAAATATTAAAATTTGAATAGAAGGCATGTTTCATCCAAACATCTTTATTTTATAACTTAAATTATAAAATAATAGATTCTTTTTTTATGTATAATATTTTTTATGTTATTGTTATTATTTAATTTGTTAATATTATTAATTTAATTATAATTTTATTAATTTATAATTTTTT